ATTGTTGTTATTGTTGTTAAGTCGATTCCGACCCATAGTGACCCTGTACTGTTTCCAAAGAGCAGCTGCTTAGCTTGAACCGCTGACCTTGCCGTCTAAACAACCCACAACGATACACCAGGACTCCATATATTTTCTTTAGTGATACAAAATTTGTTAGAATTTCATTTAAATGTCTCTGGATATTAAGAAAAACAAAAACACACTCTAACAATTAATGAATACTCCCAAATATATGGACTTCACAATATGAAAATCAAGGGACTAAGATTAAGCAAGGTGTATTCTACATAGATGTTCCATCCTTTATAAATTGCTTATCTTATAAACATTCAACATTTCTGAGACTTCTTGTCTGTAAGGGGCACTATTTTGATTTCTTATTTTATGTGTTCATTTTACTGTTTTTCAAAAGTCGTCAGTCTTGTAATACTGGCACCATGGTGACACAGTGATCACTTGAATGCTAACCCAAAGGTCTGTGATTGAAATCCACCAGCCATTCTACAGAATAAATATCCAACAATTGACTTTTGTAAAGACCTATAGCGTTGAAAACCCCATGGGGTAGTCCTACTCTGTGTAAGTTGCTGTTGCTGTTAAATGCCGTTGAGACTAGTGACGCTGTATAGGGTTTCTGAAGAGTGGCTGCTGAGTTTGAACCAGCAACCTTGCTGGTACTTCTTATTGCTTATTGCTCTCTAGTCAAACTGACCTTGTGGTCCAGTGCTCATCCTACAGCGCTATACCAGAACTCCCTGTGTTGTGTTGTTAACTGCCGTTCAGTCATTTCCGACTCATACCGACCCTGTATAGGTTTTCTGAGGAGTGGCTGCTGAGTTTGAACCACCAACCTTGTATTTCAAACTGACCTTGTGATCCAGCATTCCCTATAGGGTCACTATCAATCTACTAAATTGAATTTTATTTTTTTTGGAATGTAATACTTAGGACTCCTGGTGTGGATAAGAATTGGTTCTGACCCATAGTGACCCTGCATAGGGTTTCCAAGGAGTGAATGGTGAGCTTGAACTGTTAAACCTGCAGTTCAAACAAACCTTGCAGTCCATACCATTAACCCAGAGTGCCACACCAGGAATCCATTTAAACATATAACTGCCTATAAATGAACAACTAAAGTTAATCATAGTAGTTTTCAACTTGTATACAGATGACCAACAAGACAGTAGTAACAAAATGGGACCAATGGGCCATAAAGGGATTAAAACTGAACCATAAATTTGGATATTTAAAAAATGAAAATATATGTGAAGAACTTTTTTTTTTTAATGTTTAATTGTGAATTATATGGTAGTTTACATGGGAGAGCATTAGCTTTACATTCATTATATCGTATCTCATTTCATTGCCATGGTTGCAATCCCCTCCATGTATCATCAACCAACCAAAGGGTATACACTACAAGCCTGCCCACCCCAGCCCCCGGTCGTCAGCACACAGCCCCTCTCCCTCTCTGGGTCTAAAGTCCCCAGCCACTACTTCTCTCCACATCTTCGTCTCTGCCTCCATCTCTGGCATCACTGCTTCTCTGGGTAGGGGCCCACTCTCCACTCTTCTCCCTTGATGGTCCCAGGGACCTCTGTTACCAGACTGCAAAGTCAATCACTCCCCTCCTTTTGCTACAAAACATCTACCTTTACATTTCCAACCCTCACAGTCAGTCCTGATAACAATTATTCACTATTGGACCACAAGAGACCAATCTCCATCTCCTTTCATTAGTCCCACCTACACAGATTGGATACTACTCAGTGGAGATTCTACCTTCCTCCACGCCCTCTGGATCTAGGCTCCCTCTAGAAAGCTTGTAAGCCAGTCATGTAAAGAACTCTTACTACTTAAAAACATAAAAGAACATTTTCAAGGAAAATAAAAAGCAGGGGTTTTTAATGACAGAGGAAATAGAAAAGAATGACGAATTATGTATACACTGGGATAGAAAAAGATTAGGTGATATATGAGAAAAATCTTCCTTATTTACCACTGACCAAGTATTCAAGAAGCTTGTAATTCATTTTAATTTTTAAAAATTCACTTTAAAATAATTTGAGAGTCTCACACAAAAAGTAATTATGTTTAGGGTTCCTATCTACACTTCACCCAATTTCCCCCACTGTTAACATAAAACCAAGAAAATTTACAAAATAATACTATATTTAGCTAAACTACAGACCTTTATGCAGATTTCACCAATGTTCCCACTAATGTCCTTTTCCTTTTCTAAGATCAAATCCAAACTACCACATTGTATTCAGTTATAATATCTCTTTGGTCTCCTGAGCTGTGTATTATAGCCTTTCTTTTCAAGACCTTGAAACTTCTAAAGAGTACTGATGAGGTATTTTGTACTATGTCCTTCAATTGGGTCCTCTCTGATGTCTTCTCATGATTACAGTGGTCTTATGGATTCAGGCTTAATATCAGGAAAGATCTGCTTCATATTTATTCAATCTGTATACTAAGCAAATAATACTAGAAACTGGATTCTATGTGGAAGATGTGGCATCAGGAATTAGAAGACTCATTAACAACCTGCTATATGCAAGTGACATAACTTTGCATGGTAGAAGCAAAGATAATTTAAAATATTTATGAAGATGAAAGACTGCACCTCAATGTAAAGAAAATGAAAATCCTCACAACTGGACCAATAAATAATATCATGATAAGCAGGGGAGAAATGAAATTGTCAAAGACTTTATTTTGCTAGGATCCACAATCAACACTCATGAAAGCAGCAGTCAAGAAATCAAACAACTGAGTTCACTACGGAAATCTACTGCAAAAGACCTCTTTCAAGTGTTAAAGAGTAAAGATTTCACTTTGAGGACTAAAGAGTAAAAATATCCAAGCCATGGTATTTTCAATGATCTCATATGCATTTGCAAATTGGGCAAAGAATAAAGAAGACCACAGAAGAATTCATGTATGTCAATTATGGTGTTGGAGAAAATTTTTTTAAAGTACCATGGACTGCCTTCCAGAAGACCAAACAATTCTGTCTTGGAAGAAGTGCTTCCAGAATGCTGCACCTTAGAAGTGAGGATGGCATGACTTAATTTCTTGTTCTTTGAAAATATTGTCTGGAGGGAACAATCACTGGAAAAAGACATTATACTTCATAAAGTGGAGGGTCAGTGAAAAAGAGGAAGACCCCACTGAGACAGATTGATTCAGTAGCTGCAAGAATGGACTAAAACATCAATGTAGAGAGGGTGCAGGACTGGACAGTGTCTTGTTCTGTTGTGCTATGAGTTAAAACTGACTCAATAGCACATAACAGCAATGTGGATTTGGCGAAAAATCCATAGACTTTAGGTGTACTGATTGTACCATGGCAGGGTACATGGTTTCAATATGACTCGTCACTAGATGTGTTCACTTTGATCACTCCACAACTGGCTTCTACTAAGTTTCTCTGTTGTTGTCGTTATGTACCTTGGAGTCGGTTCCGACTCATAGCGACCCTGTACAAGGTGTCCGAGGATGTAAATCTTTACGGGAGCAGAAAACCTCATCTTGCTCCCGCGGAACAGCTGGCAGTTTCGAACTGTTGACCTGAGGTTCGCAGCCCGATTCGTAACCACTACGCTACCAGAGCTCCTTTTTCAAATACTACCTGGGGGCAAAACCAGGTTTCTCTGTAGAAAGGGAATTTTCTATCTTGAGGGACATTAAGTGAGGTAGCTAAATACATTATTTGGACTTCTATAAGGATGATTTACCTTTTTTTCTATCATTTATGCGTAATCATTCATACATATCAGCTTGGGTTCATGAATATTTATTTTATTCTTTATATTATTGTTTTATAAGGAGCTCTGGTAGCGTAGTGGCTGCTAATTTCACGGTCAGCAGTTGGAAACTACCAGCTGTTCCGCAGGAGAAAGATGAGGCTGTCTGCTCCCGTAAAGATTTACAGACTCGGAAACTGTACAGGGTCGCTATGAGTCGGAACCGACTCCACGGCACATAACAACAACAACAACATAAGACATTAATTGTTGTTATGTGCCGTGGAGTCGGTTCCGACTCATAGCGACCCTACACAGGGTTTCCGAAGCTGTAAATCTTTACAGGAGCAGACAGCCTCATCTTTCTCCTGAGGAACCGCTGGTAGTTTCGAACTGCTGACCTTGCAGTTCGCAGCTCGATTCGTAACCACTACGCTACCAGAGCTCCCTAGTATCATTATTTTATTGCTCAATTGATTTCAGCTGTGACTATTGGGAACTCTATTTGACTCTTGTGTACTTTTAACTTGCCCCATGAATGCATTCTTTTGTTTTGGGAGGGGGTGTTCCTTTATTTCTTTTTAGTTAGCTCATTAGAAGTTGACTTTAGCTATAACTAAAACAGACTTTCAAAAAGGATAATATTGATTTGACCTTGAGATTTAACCACAGATTATATTACTAAAATATATTTTGAGAAATGTTAAAACTGACATAAAATTTCATATCCGATAGTTAATTTATTTAGAAAAATAAAATAGTATAGAAATCTTAAGAATATTAAATATAAGATTTATGAAACTATAATTAAACAACATCAATACATTATCTTACTATGATATAAAACTACATAATACACAATCTTATAAACTACATGATATACAATCCTGTTAAGCTTTAATCAAAGCTTATGATATAAAATATAAATTTGCAGAACATCTCGTTATAACCATCAAAGATACCGTTTTAAAATTATTTATACCCTGGATGAGTTTTATCTTACAATTTTTTTAAACAAACAAGCTGTACTCCTGGTGCGGCACTATAGCATCAGCACTGGACTGCGAACCACAAAGTTGGAAGTTCAAACCCACCAGCTTCTCCTCAAAAACCCGATACAGGGTTCCATGAGTCAGAACCACCTCAACAGCAGTTAACAATGACAACAAAAAGTTATACATACATTCTAAATAAACTTCTTTCTTCCTGACTGAAGTTAGTTTGAAAACACACATACATACTTACAATTGAGGGAGCATATCATAGGAAGCACAGACTGTTGTTAATTTACTTCACTGCTTATCAAATCCTTGAGTTATTACATTCTAATCCTGTCAAGACACAGAAACAAAGGGAATAAGAGAAAAATATATGTTAGTTCAATATACTACTGTTTATTATATATGAAGCTAAATAACCAAGAGATTAAAACATTTAAAACTTGAAATAATTCATTTTACAAACTTAAATCTTCTGGTATGTACTTAGGGAGTCTTATGCTTTTATCCATTTTGTTATTTTTAAATTTTGGGAAAATGATCTTGAGGAACATAAGTTATTATAGTATAAAATGGAATAAATATAATTTGAAGTAACAAATGTATCTGAAATTCTAAGAAAATATATCTAAAATATATTGACAACTAAGTATAGTTTACGGTCTCTATTTTCATGGTTTCCTCAGACTAAGACTACTTTGTATCCATAGAACAAAATACAAAAAGAAGTTAAAGCAAAAGTTACTAAACTGTCTGTTTATCAATCCCTTACTGTTTACCAAACAAATATTTAGATGATACGTCTAAACATTAATTTTCATGTCAATGTATGCCAGTCACCATTTATGTATATTGTTGTTGTTGTTAAGTGCTGTTGAGTCAGTTCAGAATCTTTGATGTTGTCAAGTGCTGTTGAGGTAGATTTACAGCCATCCTGTACAGGGTTTCTGAGGTGTGGTTGGTGGGTTTGAACTACTGACCTTGTGGTTAATAGTTCAGTGCTTATTCTACATCCCCACAACAAGACTCCAACATATATATATATATATTATTGGGTATAAATGGATGTTTAAGTGCTTTCAAATCTTATTAAATTGTGTATTCTAAAATGAAAAAGGATTAGAATTAACACAAAGTGAGAAAATGGCCCACAACATTCATCATCCAAATCAAGAACCTAGAAGGATAAGTCAAAAAATATTTCTACAAAAATATAGAAAGGACTTCTAGTGAGGTGCTGTGGATCAGCACTGGACTGTGAACCACAGATTGGCAGTTCAAACCCACCAGCTGCTTCTCAGAAACCCTATACACAGTCGCTATGAGTCAGAACTGACTAGAAAGCTCTTAACAATAACTAAACGAAAATAGAAAAATGTGAAGCTGTTATTTCTTGACATAGCCTCAATCTATACATTTCTGATGGCAGTGTTTCCAACTCTTTAAGTGAGATGGATTGGCAACAGCAATGGATTCAAGTGTAGCAACGATTCTGAGATTGGCACAGGACCAGGCAGTGTTTCGTTCTATTGTGCATAGGGTCACTATGAGTCAGTACCAACTCGATGGCAACTAACAACAACAACCTTCCTCAAAGAATGTACGATCTTTGATTCACACAACGTCAAAGTGGCAGTTTTAATATTCCCAAGGGAC